ATAACTCACTGCAGCCGCCAACTCTTGGGCTCAAATGATCCTCCTATCTCAGCCTCCCAAATAGCTAGCACTACATGCATCCGCCACCATTCCCAGCTAATTTTACTATTTTAGTAGAGGCGGAGTCTTGCCTCTTGATCAGGCTGGTCTCAAACTCCTGGCCTCAAACAATCCTCCCATCTCAGCCTCCCAAAATGCTAGGATTACAGGCAAGAGCCACCAAGCCCAGCAATTCTATCATGTTTTTTATTTCTACTATTATAGAAATAGTTTCAGAAGTTCCTTTTTATGCTTTAAATTTTTAAAAATATTTCACAGCATTCTTGTTTCAGGGATATAGCTCTTAACTCTCTGTGGATTTTTGAAGTGTTCATCTCCCTACTCAGCAGTTGTATTTGTTCAAGGTGTTTGTTTTTTTGGGCTGGCCAGCCTCCCCAGAGTGTGTGGGCCTGGCTGCCGTCACTCTGGCTGTGGAGTGGGGGAGATGGCTGGACAGCTAAGACTTCAGTGTGTGCGTTAGCAGCTTTCCCTCATGTAGTTCTAGGAAGGGTTTTACTTGCTTAAGGAATCAATTTCTAGTCTATTGCTGGGAACTAGGGAGTCCTAGATAGCTAGCTATTTGTGGATAAGGAATGTGGGGATTGAACTGCTTTCTCCATGAGAATTCATTTAGTCCTCCAATCTCAGCCCTACCCTCACCCTCATTTCAACTACAGCCGGTTTCCTCAGCTTTTTGGGTGGGAGTTTGCACTGAAATCAGATTCCCTCAGCTGGAGTATGCCAAGTCTGTTCAAGTTAGCCATCTGCTTTCTAGAATGACTTTTTTTGTTTTCCATTTTCTTTTTTATGAGTTTATACATTTTAAACTCTATACAATGTTTTAGAAGAATTTTAGGGAGTAGAAAAGTACATGATTCCATTAATGTCACCATCTTTTAAAGTTTTTGTTGTTTTCACTGTTTCTGAAACTGTAAGCAAAAATAATTTTTTTAATGCATGCATTAGGATAGGTGAACTTTCTCATATTTTTGAATTTTTAACTGTCATTTAAGTTGTTGAATTAAGAGTATACATTTGCTAAAGTGTTTTACAACTCAGAAATTGATTTAGTAAAGCAAATGGCAAATTATATTCCACCTTTATTGTTCCTATCATGCAAATAGTATCTCCTTTTTAAATCGTCTGGCTTTTGTTTTCACCATATATAAAAGTTTCTGTGGCTAGTCATGATTTTAGTTTTTACTCTTAAGCTTTCCTGAAATATTTTGTATTAAAGATGTTCCTCAGTTCTCCTGTATTGTTAACTGTATGCTTAATATCTGACACAAGCACACACAAATAGCTTTTAATGTCTTTGTCTACTGATTATAACATTTGTGTCACTCCTAGATTGATTTTGATTTATTGGAGTTTTTTCCATCTGATATATGTCATAATTTCTTGCTTCATTGTATGCCAGATAGTGTAAATTTTACCTTGTTGGTTGGGTATTTTTGTGTTCCTATAAATATCTTTGAGTTTTGTTCTGTTAACAGTTAAGTTACTTGGAAACAATTTGGTGCTTTTAGGTCTTGCTTTTAGAGTTTGTTTAGGCTGTCCTGGAACAATGTTGAAACTACATTTAATTATTTCTCACTACTGAGGGTAAGTTACCCTTTGTGTACTTCAGTCACTTCTTGTGAATCACAGAGTCTTTCACTCTATGTGAGAACCGGGCACTTTGACCTAGAATCCTTTGGGCTGTTTCCTTCCCTGGCCTCTGGAATTTCTTCACAGTCATGCACTCAGGTATTCAGCTGAGCAGTTCTGCAGAGTTCTTTGTGTGCAGTTCTCTCCAGGACTCTTATCTGTGAACTCTAGCTGCTTTAGTTTCCCTGGACTCTTGCCTAGTCAGAGAACTCTTGCCCAGTGCTCTCATCTCAGGGGGTCGATCTGGAGACTCTCAGGCCAATAAGATGGGAGAGTGGTAGGCTCACCTTATTTTATTTTATTTTTTTTTTGCCATCATTATTATTAGTTATCTGAGGTCCAGTGACTTGAAACTGTTGTTTCATATGTTTTACCTGTTTCTTAATTGTTTCAAAGGGGAGAGTGAATCTGGTTCTTGTTCCTTCATTTTGGCTGGAAGCGAAAGTCCCTCACACATATGGATTTAGGCAAATAGGCAGACTTTCAGGTCCACCAAATAATACTAGTAACTTTTGTAGGTCTCTCTACAGAGAAAAGACAAAAATACTGATTTTGGTGGAAAATAATTGTTAACATTTTTCAACATAAAAATTAAAATCTGGATTTAATAACTGATTTTTCTTGCCACAGTAGAAGTATTTATACAGATTTTATATTCTTTGCCATATGGATACCTCCAAGGTTCCCATTTTCTTGATTCACTGACTCCTTAATTTCTCAGTTTTTTATAGTATATACTAGGCTAAAAGAAATATTACATAGTTCCATTTATTAAATATTTATTTCTAAAACAACTTAATTAGTTCAGTATTACTATATCAAAACATAAATTGAAACAAATTTTATTTTTATTTTTAACCAACCACATTATTTATTAATGATATGTGTGTTTTCTTGGGTGCTGTTCAGATTCTCAGACCTTGAAATCAGGTTGTACACCACCAATTTCTTGTTTTGCATTGAGTTTGCATGGATTTACTTTTTAGTACAGCACCCACTAAGAACCTAGCCTTGTAAAGATATGACATCATCAGAAGGAATGTGGTGTGATCTAATGTTGAAACAGTCAAATATTTGAGCTAGTACTTTACCTTTACCCAGAGGAACTTACAGCTGTGATCCCAAATGGGCTGTGGCCACAGGGAGGGAAGAACTGAGGAGCATCCACCAATGTCTTCCTCCTCTCACCTTCTTAATTCTTCTGTCACCTCCTATTGGCCAAATTCAACTAGAAGCCAGAGGGTAAAGGCACATGGGTGATGTAGGCAGTAGAGCCTCATCTGACAGATACTGATTATTGCCATGTTTCCTTTGGAATTTCAGACATCCCATGGTACCCCCATGAGACACTGTGCTGATTCAGAGTTCACTCTTTGGGAACACATAGATAGCCTAACATAAGGCTGTATGCTTTGTTTGATTTCTTTCATATCCCTTTACAGCATGTGAATGCATTTTGATTCTAAAGATACTAACTGAATATAAAGCAGAAGTATTTACTTTACTGTTAGAATTTATTTTTATGCCTATTGGCTAAGCTCAAAACATGTGAGTTGTAGTAGAAAGCTGTTTTATTATATCAGTTTTATTTTCTTTTATTGGAATGTCACAATTAGGTACATAGTGACTTTTAAAATAAAAGTCCAACAGCAGATACTGTTTATTATTTATGGTACATTGCTATGAGTCAGATTCATTTGCATATACCATTTATATATTATTTACTTATAAATTTATATTCTTATTTTATATAACAATAATTTAAAATTATATTATAAATTATAAATATATATTATCTCTAAACTTAAAACAAGGAGCAACTCTGAAATTATGAAATTATTACATCAAAGGTGAAGGAGAAATGTAGAAGAAAGTAGAAATTGTAGAAGGCTAACTCTACTTCTGAACGTCCTTGTAGCTTGACAAGGTTTTCAATATGGGGATAGTTGTTACAAGGTGATTAGAAGACATCAGGGACAAAATAAATAAATAATTAAATAAATAATCACAATTTTGTGGGGGATAAAACCCATGATTAATATAAAGGTTTGCTTAAAATTGCTTAAAATTTCAAAAAAAAATAGAAGACATCAAGAAAATGAAACTTATTCTCTGTGAAACTAGTATTTATGACTTGATATAATGAGTGGCCTTATAATTTATTTTTTTAAGTAAGGTCTGATAGAAATATAGTTAAAACTATTCTTACATTTATTCCTTGTTGTAGTTATAATGAAACCATGTGGTTATAATAAAATTTGTTTACTTAAAACAAATAGCACTTGTCTTACACAATGTCTATTTGCAAAATACTTTAATGTTGAATACAGCTACCGTGTTTCCCTGCAAATAAGACCTACCCATAAAATAAGCCCTAGCAGGATTTCTAAGCATTTGCACAATATAAGCCCTACCCCAAAAATAAGACCTAGTGATGGGAGTGGCTGCGCAGCATATCTGCACAACTCTTGCATTTCGTCGCGGAGTGGTAAAAAAGACAAGCAGTCCTCTCAGTTCCCCATGAGAGCATTATTGCTCGACATGAGAGATTGGGGCCAGTGGTTCTAAAGGAAATAGAGTCACAAGAAATTCAGGATGGAATTCAGGGTTTGGAGAGTTATGATGATGTTCCAGAAGAAGACGACTTCACTATATTTGAATAAATGTAGATTGTTGTAACGTACTTAAAAAAAATAACACATCCCCTGAAAATAAGCCCTAGGCTGTCTTCTTGAGGAAAAATAAATATAAGACCCTCTCTTATTATGGGGGAAACATGGTACTATTATTTAAAACAGTTGTAATGAAGTGGAAAGATCACTGAACTTGAAAATGAAGACTTTGATTCAGCTTCTAAATCGACAGCTTTTTAGCTATGTGATATAGAGAAGTAGCTAGCTAAACCTTGATAACTTCTGTTTAGTCATAAATAAAATATACAAATAATAACATGCTTCTCAATGTTTTTTCCATGGTAATTTAAGGATGATATCATATATAAGTTTCTTAGTACATAGGACCACTCCCAAGGTTGTAATTGTCATGTATACCACTGTATCCTTAGCGTCTGGCTCCTTGCCTAGTACATAGTAGGTGTGTAGCATATATTTGTTGAACTATCTTTTGACACACTCAAGCTTTTTCTTTTTTTTTTCCTTCTTGTCCAGAAAAATAACTCAAAAGATCTTTAATGTCATCATAGCAAAATAATGAAAACATAGCTGAAATAATTGGTAACAGGTTAATATTATGAAAGATACACTCTCTCTTTAAAGAGAAAAATTTGTAATAGTTCTTTGTTAATTTTTTAGGAGGAGCAAAATAGAGGCAAGCCCAATTGGGAGCACCTAAATGAAGATTTACATGTACTGATCACTGTGGAAGATGCTCAGAACAGAGCAGAAATCAAACTGAAAAGAGCAGTTGAAGAAGTGAAGAAATTATTGGTACCTGCAGTAAGTAATAATTTCTAAATGTTAGATTTGGGCCTCTCTTTTTTTCAGTTTAATTTTAAATTATTGTAATGTTTATGTTAATAAAAATATTATTTGTTAGAAATTTTATTTGACCATGAAATATAAAAATAATTGATAACTTGTTAAATGTAGTGTAATAGACAAACATAGAACATTGCTCAAATACTTAACTGGGAAAACTTGTTTATTTTTGTGAAGGAAGTATTGTGGGGGAGGAGCAAACTCAATTACTGACCAACTTTCCAAAAGTAGTATTCACCTTTTGAATCACCATCAGTAGGGTGATAAAAGCTTGTAAAATATTTTTGGAGGAGGAATTTCTCATAAGCAAGTAATGAGTATAAAGTTCATATTTAGGGGTCTTAGATATAAGACATTAAAAGTAATTTTGAAAGGTGACATCACATAAGAAATTATCCAGAACCTTTGTGTTCTCATCCTTCTTCCTCCCTTCTGTTCTCTCTTTCCTCCTCCTCTCTCCTCTGCCTTGGGTTGCTCCTTATTGTTTTGTAATCCTTTGGTAACTTTAGAAACAGGGATTGAACTATTTACCGGACTATTATCTTTTTAATCAGAAATGAAAAATAAATTATCAGTTTTCTGAGTCATTTTTTGAAATTTTTTTTATATTAGTCAATATATATATGGAAAATGTAGACTCTAAGTTGGTATTGAAAAACTATTAATACTGTTATTATCTTGTCCAATGAAAATGTATTGGCATTTACATACATGAGGTATAGCATCTGCTGTTTTTTACTTCCCAGATAGTCTGTTCTTTATTACCCTGACAGTCTATTCTACAAATAAACCTACGAATCATAAACGCTTTCCATTAACTTTACAAAATTAATTTCTTTGAAGGAAAGAATTTCATGTAAATTATGTTGCTAGATCTTATAAAGACTATAAACAAGCAGATTAAATATAAACTATCATCTATATTTGCACACTATCAAACCATGTAATTTTCTTTCTTTTCCTTAATAATTGTGTGGTATTTGAAAGCATTATATAAAAGCGTTTTGTAAGTATACAAGGCTGATAGTCTCATGATCAGAAAAAGTTATTTAACATTAGACTTTTATTGCTAAGTATATCCAAAAATATTCAGCTCATATTATTCTAAGCAAACAAGTTTACGTAGTATAGGAAATAGATCACTGTGTAATAATTAAAACTCTTACTGACTTATTAGATTATTCTAACCGTTCTGTAAACTATTTCTAAAAGGTATTAACCTAGGAAAGAGCATTGAATTAGAAGCTGTGTTAGTAACCACCTATATGGTGGTTAGTAACCACCTATATGTCTTTCAGAAAGTTAGTTCTAACTTCTCTATATCTGTTTCCTCATTTACAAAATAAGAGAGTTGGAATAAATGATCTCTAAGGATCCTTTTGTTTTAAAATTGTTGGTCTTTGAATATGAAGGAAAACAATACTTTTAATGATAAATGTATTTCCTGTAGATGTATTTTTAGGATATTACTAAACAAGTAACAATAATTTTAAATTGTACTCCTTGAAATTACTTACTCTGAAGAAATAAAACTTAGAATTACAAATCATAGGGTAAAAATATTTTAAGGTACAGGTTCTATGTAGTGATTGAACCTTGTAGTAATTTCTTAATTTCTTAATCCTATTTGTTTTATTGAATGTTTATTATAACATGAATGCTGCATCAAGGAATTTGTTCAAATTAAACTGAACATTATTATACATTTATGATGATGGTACCAAGATAAACAGAAATTTAAGCAAAACAGAAACTTTATTATATTTGAGGTCTCCCTAATTGGCCATTTCTGTCTATGTAACAGTTAATTCTCTGCAGACTTAGCCAGTAGAAAAATAATATTTGATTTGGACTTTTATACAAAGTGATATTTATACTAACACATGAAAAAAAATAAGTAAACCTTTTCACTTAAAAAGAAACCATCAAAGTGTAACATTTGAGTGCTGTGTCATGGACACTTCATGCATTATATTCAATATCATCTAGTAAGACTGCCTTTCTGATAGAATTGCCAGTTCTGTGTCAGTCTCTTTTATACTGGGGGCATCTGTGGTATTTGGAGTACTCCGACCACTTTATCCTGAATCAGATGCTTTTGCTTGCCCCTGGGCATGAAAGGAAGTAAGCATTTCATATTCTAGATTGCAGGGTGGCTGGTTACAGAAAAAGAAAGGCTTACTCTTGGTCCCCATTGAGTATTTTTCTGATTTTGACTAAATTTTAGTTTATTACCCATTGTCTTGGTGCTTTACTTCTTGTTGAGAAACATAGTTATGTAGTTGGTGATAATTTATATGTGTCACACCAGTTTACATCATATTATATGGAACTCTCCTACCCCACTATGACTGTTCCTCTGAAACCTACTTAAGATATTTTCATCTTCTATTAGTCTAATCACTGCCTAGTTCTACTTGAACCAAAACCTAACAGATATATTTATGTCCTTTTTATAACTTCTAGTTTATATTAAATACTTCTGGTAGAAAACATAAAAAATACTGAAAAGGTTAAAAAATTAGTCACTGTACTCTCCAGTGCTAATTACCAATCTTAATATTACCACCTTATTTTCTAAGTACTTTTTAAGAAACTAGAATAATCTTTTCTTTCTTAGTTGATATTATACTGTCAACATCTTTCCATGTCATTAAATGGTGATTAATAGTTACATATGATATTTACTGGTTGCATATCTACAATCCATAATGTCATGGATGTGCTATTACTAACCATTTGTTGCTGGACATTTAAGATATTTTTTACTTTTCACACTTATTGACAGTGTTGCAGATAATATCTTTGTAAGGAAATATTGGACTGTCTTTCTGAATATTTAAAGATACATTTCTAGAAGTCAAATTACCAAGATTAAAGATGTGAACATTTTTTAAGGATGGATTTGTACTTGCATTAACATCATATGGAGTACTCTTTTTAGTTTTGTCGATCTCTAGGTGTTGTATTTTGAAAAACCCATTTTCTATTTTGATAAATTGTAAGTAGATATCTTATTGTTGAATTGGGGACTTGTAAGAAACTTGAGGGCTTGAGGGTTGCCCTTCTGAATACCTCATATTTGTATTGCCTCTGAATTATCTTTTTTATATTCTTTGTCCAATTTTCTATGTGAATATTAGCATTTTTCTTATTAGGCTTGTATTAGCTCTATGTATCAGAGATATGTACATATATGTCTAATGTTTTCTAAGTTAATAATTGGCTTTTTAATTTTTCTATTATTTTTAATCATGTAGACATATTAAACTTTTAATTGATCCTGTTTTCCTTTATCATTTTTTCCATTGGCTTTTATGCTTTTCCCTTTTACTAAAAACAAGTAGATTTTTCTGCCTTATGTTTTCTGCTAGATTTTTACAGTTTTATTTGGTGCTTTGATTCATCTGAAGTTGGTATCATTGTAGAATATAAGGTCAGCATGCTACCCTTGCTACCTCTATAAATTCTATTGTATTTGTGAAACCATGTGTTCCCTGTTCCATGCTTCCCACATTCCTCCTAACTGTTCTGTTAAGATTTGGGCAGATTATTTTCCTGTCGTTTCCTTTCCTACCTGGGTTATGGGCCTTGGTATGAATTGTGAGTTCTCTTTTTATTTTCATGAACAAAAGTTCCATAACCAAGCTTTTTTTGATAATTTGTTTCTCTTCCTAAAAACTTGATTAATGGTTGATTAAAAGGATATGTAGTCAGCCTTTCATATCTATGGATTCTGCAGCTGTGGACTCAACCAACTGTAAATCAAAAATATTCTGAAAAAGAAAAAAACCAGTAACAAATAATACAAATTAAAAAATCGGTTAAGCATAACAACTATTTACAAAGCATTTACATTGTATTAAGTATTATAAGTAATCTAGAGATGATTTAAAGTATATAAGAGAAGGGGGCCAGTGGCAGTGGATAAAGTATATGGGTTCATGTGCACAGATTATATGCAAGTAATGTGCCATTTTATATAGGGGACTTGAGCATCCATGTATTTTCGTATCTGTTGGAGGTTGTGGAACCAATCTCCCACAGATACCATGAAATGACTGTATGTATATTGCTATGTATGTAAAATAAAAAGAAAAATGTTAAGTGCTTACCAGAAAGAGGTACAGCAATTTTGCTAGTATCAGAATAGTTTTTGCTTCAGGGACTATCTAAGAAGGTGGAAGGAAATGAACTAAATTTTAAAATAATGGGGGAAAGGTATGATATTCTTTAACTGTAGAGTATGTTTAGAGAGCCACAATTAATTTAGCTTTCTGGATTATAGGAAATATAAGGAGTTATAATGGGAGAAATAATGAAAAGGTAGGTTGTGGCCAAATTATTTAGAGCAAAGTGTTGAAACATTTTTTTTCTGTACAAGTTGAATGTTTTGAACAGGATGCAAAATTGACAGAATTGTGGCTTTAGAGGGATTTTACTGGCAATAATTTAGATAGTAGGTAAGTTATGAGGTAAGAAATAATGGCAGTGGTAAGGGGACGAAAGATACAGATATGGGAGAGAGCAGCAGATCTTAGCAATTTGGCATCTAATTAGATGTGGGAACCAAAGAGGAAAGAATTCAGGGTGGTTCTGGGATTTCAAGCCTTGGTTATTGGGAAGAAGATGATAGTGTCATTAACAGAAATAGAAAAGTTTGCAAGTGAAAACAGTATGTTTATGAGGAAAGATCCAGGGCAGTGATTCCCAACTTTTGGGAGGGCTTTTGAAAGCCTATTGAAAAACTGTAGCTTCTCTACTAAGAATAATAAGCATAAATAAATTATTATAAAGTTTGCATTAATATCAAAGTACTTATGAGCCTCCGAGGCCTTAAGTCCCTGGATTCCCTGATGTAAGGGAGTTCAGGTTGAAGACTCTTGGTCTAGAGATTCACCCTAAAAGGTGCTTTTCAGTGCAGAGCTATATATTGAGAAGGTCACAAACCATTTCCT